AACATATAAAGCTTAATTGTAAATTTTCTTACATGTCTATAGTTAATGAATCATTTTTCATATCCATTGTCTTATTTGATCTTCAAAACAACACATTTCATGACAATCCATGTTTCACCGGTCTCATAGCTGAAAGAATAGAGCCATAACAAGGTCAAGGGTCCTGCCCAACAAGGGGCAGCTCCTATGTGAAAGAACCACGTAGTTCCAGAGTCAGGGATGCTGACTCGGAACTGAGGGCTCTTTTCACTAAACTACAGTTGGTCAATTCTGGAAATCGAAGCAAAGCCTTCTTAAGTGCTGAGTGTTTGGGGAAATGCTAAAGATAAAGAATGATGGGTATGTTAGGTTTATCCTAGAGAAAGTAAGACTGAAGCAGGGTTGTTTTTCTTTATAAAAATTTTCATTGAAGAATAACACACATACAAAGAAGTGTCCAAGCCCCAGGCAGAGTTGTTTGGGTTTTTTAAATATAATTTATTGTCAAGTTGGTTAACACACAATGTATACAGTGTGCTCTGGGCTTCAGGAGTAGATTCCCATGAATCATCGCTTACATACAACACCCAGTGCTCATCCAAATAAGTGCCCTTGTCAATGCCTATCACCCATTGGCCCCAACCCAAAACCCTCAGTTCGTTCTCTGTATTTAAACGTGCCCTATGGTTGGGGCGCCTGGGTGGCTTAGTCGGTTAAGCGTCTGACTTTCGCTTAGGTCATGATCTCGCGGTTCGTGGATTCGAGCCCCGCGTCGGGCTCTGTGCTGACTGCCAGCTCAGAGCCTGGAGCCTGTTTCAGAGTCTGTGACTCCCTCTCTCTCTGACCCTCCCCTGCTCACGCTGTCTCTCTCTTTCTCCTAGAAATAAATAAAACATTAAAAATAAAATTTATAAACGTGCCCTATGGTTTGCCTCCCTCTCTGTTTGAAACTATTTTTTCCCCTTCTGTTCCCCCATAGTCTTCTGTTAAGTTTCTCAAATTCCACATATGAGTGAAAACATATGATATGTCTTTCTTTGACTGACTTATTCACTTAGCATAATACCCTCTAGTTCTATCCATGTTGCTGCAAATGGCAAGATTTCATTCTTTCTCATTGCCCAGGCAGAGTTTATAAAGGGAATTTTGAAGGTTTCAATCTGACCACCAATTTGAAGGGTCTCAAGAGAACACACAAAAATGAGAGCAACACATTCTTGGTAAGACTTTATTTCAGGCGCCCATGAAACCTCTCATTAATTCTATGCTTGGGCTTCCAGAGGTAGAGGTCACACAGTGTTCCTCACACCACAAAAACGACCGCCTTGAGACACTCCTTGCAATTTAAAAGTTTAACCCAAATCTTGCTGTTACTGCTGGGGCTGGACAGCCATAAGTTCGGAATGTTCCAGGGGCATGTTGAGATCTCAAGCATTAACTTTCCAAAAAGCACCTTTTTAAAGATCAGAAGCTCAGGACTTAACTGGTTTTTTTGAACATGAACTTTACTCGGAGATGTCCACATTGTGTACAGGGAGGCATAGAACCCATTTGCGGAAACAATAAAAGCACTCTACATCCAAGAAACTGAGAGAAGCAGCTAAATTTTTCTTCCTTCTCCTCCCTCTTTTCTCCTCCTACTCCTCCTTCTTCTCCACTTTCTTCTCCTCCTCCTCTTCCTCTGTCTTCTTCTCTCTCCCTCTCTTCCTCTTTCTCTCTCCTTCCCTGCATTCCTTCCAGGACTAAAGATCTTGAGCAATCTGTATTCTAATTTTGGTGCATTACAAGACCACAGAATGGAAGAAAGCCAGAGGCTTTCTGTCATCCTCAAATGACAGATGGTGGGGGGGTCCCCAGCTTTCAGAGCAGATTTTCCTCTCCTCTGGCCAGTATGAAACAAGTCATCCAGTAAAACACACAGAACAGAGAGCAGGGGGGAGAATTAAGCTCCTTTTTCCAGCTCCTTCTTTATTTAGGAAACATCAGGAGAGTTTCATGACTCCTCCAGGATTACCCAAGTGGCTAGAAGTAATTCAGGAACTAGAATCCAGACCTCAGGGCTCCAAGCCCAGTGCTCTTTTCATTAAATCACGCTGTCCCACTTTCAAAGCTTCTGCTCATCTTCACACCGCCCAGGGGCTTGTAGCAAGCAGAAGAGGAGACTAGTGAAGGTTATAATGGTCATAATAATAATTGACAAATAGAGGCACCTGGGTGGCTGAGATAGTTAAGTATCTGACTCTTGATTTCAGCTCAGTTTATGATCTCACAGTTCATGGGATTGAGTCCCATGTTCTTTCTCTCCTCCTCTCTCTGACACTTCCCTCCTCTCTCTCTCTCTCAAAATAAATAAACATTTTAAAAATAACTGGCAAATGTTACATTATCATAATTGCTATTATTATGATAGCTAAGAGTTACTGAGCACTTAATATTCATTAGCCACTATTCTGAGAGCTTTACATATGTTAACTCATCAAATCTCCACAACAACCCTATTGTCCCCATTTTACAGATGAGACATCTGAAGCACAGAGAGGTTAAGTGACATTGCTTAATCTTGCCCACTAGAAAAGAAAAAGCAGGTGATTCCAATCATATTGACTCCTGAGGCATCAATGTGATGTCAAAGTTGGCCCACAAAAAAAGTGAGCCAACTATGGTCCATTCACACAATGGAATACTATACAGCCATATAAAAGAATGAAGATGATCTCTATGTAGTGATGTATAGTGGTGTCCAGGATATATTGTCTATTAATCAGGGTCCTGGCAGGAAACACAAATTTGAGCATTAAAAGAAAAATGACTGTAATTGGTTGTAAAATCTTGAATAAAAAATGCCCATAGGTTTATACCAATATTCAAATTATGAAGTAAAATAAAAAGAGAAGAAAAAGTTCATTTTTCATCTTTGGAGGTGACTATTACATAACCCATTACTCCAAAAGCTGGTCGTTAAAGGGAAATAATTAAGTATCTTACTCTACCTTTTTATGAAGGAGTAGACGTGAGTTTATCCACTGTCAATAAAGAAAAGCTCTGTTTTATAGAAAAATTCCAGCAAATACATGTAGAAAGGATCCCAGCAGCAGAATATCACAATTCTACAACTGCCAATAAGATCATTTATCAAAACAAGAATCACTGATGGATGTTAACATTATTCAGGGAGAGGTTATGGGAGACCAGCATGTTCAAGTGCACCAAAGAATCATCCCCACGTATTTCTTGTTAAATTGCAAAGGGTAAACTGTACTTTCGCAATGCAAAGATCTCACAGTGATCGTTTTAACCAAGTGATCAAATTTAACATTATAATCAGACATTGGACTATTTTGAAATTATGAGCCTTCTGAAAGGATGCAATATTAAGCACACAAAATCACATGTGAGGTATGCTTGCCAGAAATTTAGCCTGAAGCTAATCAAGTCTTTAGATCCAACTTTCAGTTTACAAGAATTACAAAACATAAAGGAACAAATTAAACACCTTGAGAAATCAATCAGACAAATCCAGAATGAAGGACATTCTACAAGACAAATGAAAACATCTCTTCAAAGAGTCAATGTTATTTTTAAAAGAAAGAGGCCATTCTAGAGTAGAAGAAATGAAAAAGATTTAATTAGACACCATGTGTAATTGATCAAATACTGATTTTAAAAAAAACTGTAAGAGGGGAACCCAGGTGGCTCAGTTGGTTTAGAAATGACTTTTGATTTTGGCTGAGGTCATGATTGCATGATCATGGAATTGAGCCCCATGTTGGGCTCTGCACTGAGTGCAGAGTCGGCTTGGGATTGTCCCTCTCCCTCTCTCTCTGTCCCTTCCCCGTTCTCACATGCACTTGCACACATGCTCTCACTCTCTTGCTTTCTCTCTCTCAAAATAAATAAATAAACTTTATTTAAAAAAAACCTATAAGAACATTTTTAGTAATTAGGGCAATTTGAATATGGACTGTATATTAGATTAAATTATATAATCACTATTAATATTGGTAGGTATGAGATGACATTTTCTTTCTGGAGAATGACCTTATCTTTATAAGAAGCACGTTGAAGCATTTAGGCGTGACTTAAGGATATCTACAACTTACTTTCAAATGCTTAGATAGAGTTGAGCAAGCAAAATGTTAGGAAATGTTTGATTCTAGGTGGCTGGTATAGGAGGGTACATGTACATTCAACTTTCCATGATATTTGAACATGGTTAAAAGATGGAGGGGGGAGGGGCACCTGGGTGGCTCAGTCGGTTAAGTGTCCGACTTCGGCTCAGGTCATGATCTCACGGTTCGTGGGTTCGAGCCCCGCGTCGGGCTCTGTGCTGACAGCCAGCTCAGAGCCTGGAGCCTGTTTCAGATTCTGTGTCTCCCTCTCTCTCTCTGACCCTTCCCTGTTCCCGCTGTCTCTCTCTCTCTTCCAGAAATAAATAAAACATTAAAAAAATTAAAAGATGGAAAGAATACCTGAAGACCAGGCAATATACAATTTGTAAGAACAAATACCTATAGAGGAAAGGGAGTGAACGTAGGGAATGAGATATAAGGGAAAAACAACACCAAACCAATGAAAGGGGCTGTGTACTGACAATGATAAAAGTGTGCAACGAGCTGAACATTATAATAAATTCAACTCTCCACACCTGAAAAAAGAAAGACATTCATCAAGTCAGCCAAGTGAGTCCCTTCCTCACCGCTGGGAGTGGAGAGCCGCATGAGGGTGAAGAGCGTGAAGCTGGAAGGGCCACAAACATGTAGTGCCAGGCTGGCTATCCAGAGCTCCCCCATTGTGCATTGAGCTGGGATATTTTCAAATCTATTTGGTAATGCAGAGTTATCTCCCTTGTGTCATGAAGGCCTTATGTTATTTGATTTACAGCTGCTCTCACGAAGGGAGATTTGTTCAATAATCCCCAGGATTGCAGCTAAACGCCCAAGAACATATTTATCTACTTGGCTGTAATCAGACATCTCCATCTACTCCGGGTATGTAACTATGATTGCTTTTGTTTATTTCAGGTGCTTCATCAGCTTCCACGCATTCCAGGAGAACTCTTCTGTGGTGTCCCTGTGAGTCAGGTGAAAAAAGACCATGAGGATCCCTCAAGCCTCATTCCTGGTGGAAAAAGGAAAGGGCTGAAGTGCATTGCCTCTGGTCCTTGGAAAAAAATAGCCAGAATAAAAAAAAGTACAGGCCAAGAAATGCCCCTAGAAGGCCTTAATGGCACATAAATAAGAGAATTTCATTGCCCAGGAGGTCTATATAGCGGTCCTGAGAGAAACATGTGGGGAATTCTAGTCGAATGGGAGCTTCTGGAGGGTAGGAAACACATCTGCCTCTATCCGAGACCTAGCCTGGTTCTGAGAACATAACAAGTGCTCCTTTCATATTTGTCAACTGAGTAAATGCATCCATAATCTAACAAGGCATAAGTGGTTCAGACTGAGGATGAATAGGTAAGAAAACAATGATTTTCTCTTAAAGTGAGAAAGGGAACAATGTGAATAGAGAACAAGAAAAAAAAAAACATTGTAGCCCATATCTAGATCTACCCATTTGCTTTGGTAGGTGAAAACAATTCTTAAGTAAACATAATAAATGGAAAGAATGTTGCACATGAAAGTGAGACACAAAAATAAAATAAAATAAAATAAAATAAAATAAAATAAAATAAAATAAAATGGCTAGAAACAAATTGTGTTTGGGCTAGAAATCCAAGTATTACCCTTCCCAGGGTCCAGGGCTGAAGACTCTCAGAACCTTGTAGACCACTCTCAGATATTTCTAGTCTAAGAGTAGCAACTCTCGTTCCTGCTTCTATCAGTCACAAGGCTTTCCATTTCACCCCCAGAAGCATCACAAAATTCTTCCCTGATTTCCCAAAACAAACTATTTTAATTCACTAAATTATTTTAAAAAACAAGACGGTAATAGAGAAGGGAGTGTTGTGGAATCAAAGAAGCAAAGATAATTCTCCAAAAATGTTCAAAATTCTTCTGTAGCCCAGAAAAATAGATGGATGTTTCTGAGAATACCACCCTCCCCAAAGCTAGAACTACACAGAATGTTTTCTTTTATCCCATTCTTATGGGGCTCCTCCTGGGATTGAGTTTTCCCTTCTCAATAGCACAAAGAGGTGAGTCTTCTATGCTAGAAGAAGGGAGCCAAGCTTGTCGGGTCTGGAAGAAAGTAAACATTTGTGACTTGCCTGAATTATTTTAAATAATGAAAACATCACTCTGATGGCCAGTGCTACAAGGCAGCAGGTAGTAAACTTAGGAAAAACCAAGGGTAGTGGCCTGCATTTCAAACCTGGCTTAAGAAGCTGATCAGAGAATTTGGACATGGTAACTCAGAGACAGTTGCTGGATTTTAAAAGTAGGAAATTGGAGAAAGATCGTAAGTTTGCCTCCCTCCATTTCACCAGACTCTTTAGGTAAGCCCCATTCTATGCTATCAAAGGGATCCATCTGCCCAGCTCTGTTCACAGACCTTTCTTTCAGGCTCCCTCACAGAATCAGCTGGCCTTGAATCTGACTCTGCTAAATGCAGAACCCAAAGCTCCTGGTTCCTTCCTAAGCTTCCCCGGAACAGAGCACCCATTCTTGGCCTCTGCTTATGATTGTGTTGGTCTAGTTCAAACTCCGATCCAACACCCAGGACTGGGATGGCATCCAGCTCTGCGTTAGGTACAGTGCTGGAGACCATCTGCTCTTTTGTCAGTGCTGCACATTTGTCCAATGTCATGGTCTGAAGAATCAGATTAGAAGACAGCTTGCTTTGTGATTTTCCTGTTTGTTTTTTTCTTTTGAACATGCATTTTATCTTGCTCTGAACATTATTCTTTTCTTCCTGCTCTTTCAGGTTAAAGCCAAGAAGTCACCAGTATCTGTTAGTCGTCCAAGAATAAAACAGGCTGAAACCTATTTAGATGCATGTCTCCATTTGCTAGTGTTTAACATCCAAACTCTCAACCTCAAGTTTCCGTCGTAAGCAAAGAAACTTATCATTATTTGCAGGACAAAAGGAGCTAAGGCAAAGAAGTAAATCTTATTCTGAAGAGTTAATCATGTGGAATCCCAGGTCTCACTCCCCAGGGATGCCAGGTCTGTTGTGAGACCAAAAACTGTTCACTTTTTACAGGTGCTCCAGGTGATTCTACACAGGTGGACCACGTTTTTGGAGGAAGAGAAGGTCAGCTTCATAAGAGCTGAAAACAGCTGGAGTGGGGTAGGGGGTCCCAGGGAACTTGGTGATATGCAGCCACCTGGGCTGGAGGCTCTCGGTGGAGAGGAGGGCTTCAGAGCAGGGAGAAGCTTGAGGTCTGCAGCTTTCCCTTTGAGCTACTGTTCACCACTTGACCCCAAGCAGCAGGGAAGGAGGAAGAAGCAAGTATTGTGCCAAACAGCCAGCAGTAACCTGACTTCCCAGACTCTGCTCCCTCGCACCCCTCATGCTAAGGACCATTTCCTGCCTGACCTGTGAGCTCAGGCTCAGTCTCAGTTGCGAGTACTAGCAACCAGAATTGGGCTGGAGACAAACTTTGCTCCTTTCTTGGTGGCTTGGTAACATCACCACAGCTGCCTGGCAGACTCGAACCTCATGTCACACAACATATTCCTCAACCTTTTTGGCTTGGCATCCCTCAAAATAAACTTTAATGCAACCTCACTCATTTCTAAGTAGACATCTAACATTTTTCATTGCGAGTTTAAATTGTTGCAAAGTACGTACTTCCTGGCATATTGTGTGTTTTGACATTTTTAAAATACTTACTTATTTTGAGTGAGTGAGTGAGAGAGAGAGAAACCACACATGAGTATGGGAAGAGCAAAGAGAGAGAGAGAGAGAGAGAAGAGGAGAGAATCCCAAGCAGGCTCCATGCTCAGTGCAGAGCCAGACATGGGGCTCAATATCAACAACTGTGAGATCATGACCTGAGCTGAAATCAAGAGTCAGACACTCAACCAACTGAGCCACCCAGGCACCCCTGACATTTTTTAATTGAACTGTTACATGATTCTTTAAAGGTACTAAACGGAATCTAGAAGCTATTGTGATTTGGTACTCACAGTCATTCATTCACTTATTTAAACTATACATGAACGAGTCCTTCTTTAATAGTTAGAGATTTTATAGCAATTTGTTTTCCTTTTGGACTCATATTTCCATCTGATTTCCTCCATATAATTTTAACCTATTATACTTTTATTCTTATAGTCTTTTATTGACCATGCCATCATACTTTCTCTACTATAGTAGATACACCTATAGATAGAGACATGTTTAGATGTAGATATATAGATATATGTAAAGCCTGGCATTTAATATGCTTTAAATAATTTCCTATGACCAAAAGGACCGAAGAGTCAAAAGATGTCTTATGAATTTTATTACCACTGTAATTTTGGTAAAACTAACATAAATATATCACAAGTCATTAAATATAAAAAGTGAATTTAATTGGAAGTGCATCTCTAAATAAATAGGAGTGACTCTAATCATTTCTGTCGATAAACAGTACTTAATGTCAGAGTGAGTCAGTGCTCAGCCCACTTATATTAATGTATTCCATTTTTGTATATGAAAGTCCTTATAATTCTTATTCACATAAATAATTACATAGAAATGAAGGGGGTTTGGTTATGGCAATGTCATTCAACTCTTTGAAACCTTCCTGAGCTCATTTTAATGGTTTATCGGCTGACATCTTGTTACATTCTTGAATTTTTTTGAAGCAAAGAATCAGAAATTATATGAGCCCTCCTGAGCACCATGGCTCGTGTGCTCTCCCTTCCCAGAAGCATGCTCTGTGCCCCTCAATGTCTGATTGCAGTTTAAAAGTTTTTCAGAGGAGGTTATTTTTAGTTTATTTATTTTGAGAGAGAGTGTGTGTGGGAGGCAGGGGCAGAAAAAGAGGGAGACAGAATCCCAAGCAGGCTCTGCATAGTCAGCACAGAGCCCCATGTGGGGCTCGAGCTCACAAGCTGTGAGGTCACGACCTGAGCCAAAATCAAGACTCTGATGCTTAACTGAGACACACAAGCACCCCTCAAAGCTCTTTGCTGAAACATATCTACAGATATAGGTTTAGATTAGATATAGATACAGATATACACACACAGATATGACTGTATTAAAATCATATTCTGTCCCTCTAAGTACACCTGGGTGGCTTGGTTGGTTAAGTGTCTGACTTCAGCTCAGGGCATGATCTTGTGGTTCACTGAGCCCCATGTCGGGCTCTGTGCTGACAGCTCAGAGCCTGGAGCCTGTGTCTCCCTCTCTCTACCCCTCCTCTGCTCACACTCTGTCTCTGTCTCTGTCTCTCTCTCAAAAATAAATACACACTTTAAAAAATCGTATACTGCTCCCCCTAATAATGTTTGGTATATTTTTCCAAATTGCCTTCCATGTGTATATAATTTTTATATAAGTTTATTCAAGGAATAGTCCCATTTTGTTATATTTTCATTTAACATTTCATCGTAATTATTTATCATAAATAATTAGACCATAAAAATACTCTAGTGACAGTTGTAGTGGCTATTTCATATTCCATTGTATTTGTGCCACAAAAATCTATCAAAGCATTTTCTCAAAACCTTGTCTCTGGGATGTCTGGGTGGCTCAGTCGGTTGAGTGTCTGACTTTGGCTTAGGTCATGATCTCGCAGTTCATGAGTTAGAGCCTATCTTCAGATCCTGTGTCTCCCCTCTGACCCTCCCATGCTCATGCTGTCTCTCTCTCTCAAAAATAAATAAAACATTAAAATATTTTTAAAAAAGCCTTGTCTCAAGAAATAAGAGAAAAGCCTTAGTTGAATTGTTCAAATTTCTTGATCTCAACACCTAATTTCTTTCTTACATGAGGAAAAAAGCCATGACCACTATTACATTTCATACCTTAAAATGTCACTTATTGGAAGACACACCCATTGTATGTTTCTCAGAAAGGACACAAGTATTTAACAATGATCATGACCAGGGTGCCTGGGTGGCTCAGTCGGTTAAGCATCCAACTGTTGATTTTGACTCAGATCATGATCTCACAGGTTTTGAGTCTGAACCCACATCTGGCTTTGTGCTGGCAGCATGGAGCCTGCCTGGGATCCTCCTTCTTTCTTTCTCTGTTCCTTCCCCACCCACACTGTATCAGTTTCTCTCAAAATAAGTAAATAAACTTAAAAAAATTGAAGGGGGGCTTGGGTGGCTCAGTCAGTTAAGTGCTCAACTTTGGCTCAGGTCATGATCTCCCCGTTCATGGTTTCGAGCCCCACATCGGGCTCTGTGCTGACAGCTCAGAGGCTGGAGCCTGCTTTGGATTCTGTGTCTCCCTTTCTGCCTGCCCTTTCCCTGCTCCCACTGTCAGTCTGTCTGTCTCTCTCAAAAATAAACATTAAAAAAATTTTTTAAGAAAATTAAAATAAATTATTTTGACCTGTGCAAATGTCTCTAGAGTGAGCTATGTTATAGAATTCTCTGCGTGCACAGCTTGGGGAACTTTTCCATGCCCCACAAAGCCCCTCTGTGCGTGACACTTTTATGTTCCTCCTGCCATACCCTGACTTGCAAACGTGCCTAGATGCCCCCCATCTCTTCTCACCTATGAAGGACTCATCCCTTTCTGGAATTTGATTCCCTTGGATTTATTCATGTCCACAGCTCTCTAATGTCTTTTAATATAATTTTTTTGTTTGTTTGTTTATCTACTTTTGCCTCCATGTTATCATGGGAGCAATGGTCTGTCCAAACTACCTATGTCCTAACAGGAAGGATCACTTTGTGAAAGAAGACTTTGTCCATCTTGGTTGCACTAGCTACATTTCAACGCCAGTGATGGTACAGACTATAGAACATTTTGCATAAATTAAGCAGCCAGCCACTTGGATTCCCAGTATCCAGTCCGCTTTCCCAGCTGCTTTTAACAGGGATTCCCACATTCTGCCTTAACTCCTGTTCATCCCAGACTCACTTCTTTGGAACCGCTAGGGACTCCAGGGCAAATATACGTCCTGGCAGCTCAGGTCCCTCTCTGTGGCTTCCCACTGCTCAGAGGAGCCCGAACACATTTCTTAACCATGTCCTGCTGGGCAATACAAATCACCTTCTGTCTTAAAAAAAAAAAAAAAAAAATCTGACTCACTGGAGTTACTCCAAATCACTTTCTTTCTTGGAATTCATGACTTCTTTTGATGTTTATCAATATATCACTACCTGGTAAGCTTGCCAAGATCATGTATGGGTTTGGTGATATATCATCTCCCCACGGCTTATTGCAAGGAACTTCCCACCTCTTTTAGGGATCCAAAAGATCTGTGAGCAGCATAAAATGGCAAGATGCCAGGAAACAAGGACTCAGCTCTCAGCTAGATATCTTATTCACTAGCACAGGGCTGCCTTTGAGAGTCAGTGTGTATTGGGGAAGGATTCCAAGAAGATGTGTGACTTTAGAATAATGACAAAGGTCAGCTAAGGAAGTTAAATAAGCTTGGAAATCATAATTATGCCAACCCTAGACAAGGCGATGAAGTCAAGAAGTTTATCTTTGGCCTCCCTCCAAACCTCCCTGAGAATCCTTCTCTTTGATTCTTCTCCTTTGTCCCCTTCCCTCGAGCTTGCTCAGGACTCTATCTTGGCTTCTCACTCCTTCAGGGAGCTCTTTCTGGGCTCTTTTCTCCCATGGAAACTTAGTTCCATGCCCATTAGGCTCTGCTTGTGAAGACCAGCCAGCTATTAGGACAAGTTAATTTACTTCAAAACAGGAGTCCTTTACCTGGTTTTAAAGATGGGCTTCAGAGGTCAGTGAAGACCCTAAGACATTATAACTTTGCTTGTGTATTTTCTGGGGAAAAGAGCCATAGATTTTATGAGATTCTAAAATATGTCTATGAACCCCAAAAGGTTGAAAGCCCTGATGGTGAATGTCAATAGCTGATAATTGTAGGAGGTTTTATTCCCAGTTAATGTTTGCATTTTAGCCAAAGTGTGAAGGAGAAACCTCCATCTGTTAAATAGCTTTGCTTTGGGAAATAATAATAGGACAGTTTTCAGGCCAGAGGTAAGAGAAGTAGGAAAGACTCTGGGGTAGGAAATGTCCCGTTATCGCCTTTGAGATCATAGCCAACCACCTGCCCGTAGGATCAAGGGCAGCTTCTCTGGGTTGCACCGTTTCTCTTTGAACACAAAACCTTTCCACTCATGTAAAGTGTAGGCTTTTTAAAGAAACGTCAAAGAAACTAATCAGGCTTGGGATGCAACCCTTTCTGTTCATTACAGATCAATTCTGGTGAAGCGCCAGTAGGGTACAGCAAAAGGTCTGGAGACACAGTTGCACTTCCTGCTTGACCACCCATTGCTGAGCAACTTTCTGAGAATGGCTTGGTCACTCTGGGCCTCTATCTTCATTTCTAAAACATCCGGCCAATTCTCTCCAGCCTTGTGATTCTAAGAAAGCTGCCAGAAGTCCACCATACATGGTATTTCTGTACTGCCTTTCTGTACTGTTTTTCATATTTAGGGGGAAGAGACCCAACCAAACACAAAGTTGTTTGCTTCCTTTTTGATATGTTAGCATCTTGTCCCAAGTAGCAAAACCTGCTCTTGAAAGCTTCGAAACAGTCTGCAGTGGATTGCGATTCTTGTCTCAGAAAGATTAATTGGAAACAAACT